ATTATTATTATTTTATTTTATTTTTTTAAAGATGACCGGTAAGGGGATCTTAACCCTTGACTTGGTGTTGTCAGCACCACACTCAGCACCCTTGACTTGGTACTTGCTGCAGAGCACAGGTAATATCTTGATTAAAATGATGCCCTGAATGTCTTTCAGATTGGTAAGGTGCTCAGCTCCTTGCTTAAGCCTAAAGCCGTGACCAAAACAATCCCAAAATCTCATCTTTACAAGCCTAAGTCCACAGATCACTTTCGGTCTCAATAGTGTGTAAGTCTTGGTCCAGCCAGAAGATAGAAGTCACACCTTGATTTAAACAAAAGTGTAACATAAATACGTAGAGAGAACTCTGACATGTCCCGCAATTGAGGGAGAGTACCTGAGGAAGGCAGATTCTGCTGTACGGCCAACAGCCTTGGTGTTATCAGCACCGCACTCTCCTAAGTGAGCCACGGGCCGGCCCCCTAAAGACTAAATTATAAACTTAATCTCTAGTAATGCATATATATACTAAAAGTGGGAAAGATATAGAAGAAGTGAATGGGTAGTTTTTATAAATAAACACATACATATAACAAGCAAAGAGAAAACGCAAACTACTGCCTTTCTTGTTTCGGTAATTGCTCTCAAGGTTATAGTTGATATCTGTGGCTTAATTCTTCAGCCACCAGTTCCATATTGCCCTTGCCCTCAGCCAGAACCTCAGCAGCTCTAGCTTCTGTACTTCAAGGTGTGACCCACATCTTCATCCCCCATGGGTGTAAGTCTTCCACTGTCTTGCCTTTCTTTAGCTGTAAGTTTCCATTAACCTTTTCTTTGCAGCATGGAAATACTTGGAGGTTCCACACTACATCTTCCTTGCCTCAATTGAATAGCAGTACTCCATTTTCCCTTTGATAACTGGGAACAATCACTCTAGGCAGTAGGTTACCCCTCCCCACTGCCGTACTTTTTTTTCTGGCCTCTTGGTTTAATGGTATACGAAGCCTAAAATGGGCAGTCTCGTCTTCCAGTGTATTGGAACCATAATTGGCCCCCTTGGGGGAAGCCTTCCCCATTAGGGACTAAGATCTCCAAACCTGCAGCACTCTAAGTTGCTGGGATTGGGAGCAAAAATTCTGTCAGTGGAGCCAATTCCACCTTTACCCATCAATTCCTGGGCCCATATATTCTGGCTGTGGGGAGACAGTACCACATAAGGCTCTCTGATTCAAAGCGTATACCTACTCCTGTGAGACAGATCCCTTCCTTTCAGAGGGTTGTCTCCCATTTGGCCTGTAAATGAGTCTTCATTATGCCATTGCACCTTTCGTTTAGGTCAGCGACTCCTGAGCGACGGTGTGTGTGATGGGACCAGTTGATTGCGTGGACATGGTCCCCTTGTTGAACTTCCTTTGTAGTGTAATGGGTTCTGTGTTTAGGAACACTGCTGTGTGAATGCTGTGACTGTAGATAAGGCATTTTGTGAGTCCATGGATGCTGGTGCCAGTAAAAAGTCACATCCACATCCAGAACGTGAGTCTCTTCCAGTGAGGATGAGTCTTGGACGATTCCATGATGGAAGAAGACCTGCTACCAGGTGGCTGGCTTGTTCCTTCTAAGGAATGGTATCATACTGGACACTCAGTGTTGATTTCTGCTTTCAGGAGATGAGGTAAAGCAGTAATGATAGCTGGGTCAGCCTCAGTAAGGGGAAGTCCATATCAGTGAGCACATGCATAGTCTTTATTCCTGCCACCGTGGCCATTTTTTTTTTCATGGGCACATTGAGCAAGCACTGAGGTGACTAGGAAAAGTAATAGACATTGTCGAAGTGCGTGATTTTGTCCCCCTTATTTCCAGTGGATCACCTTTGGTGGGCATTCATATGGGACACACTGTCCTTTCAGAGAAGGTCATCCAGATACCTTTTCCTAGACTTCCTTGTTACCAGTCTGGCTCCTCCCACTTCCTTGACCATCTAGCCAAATCATCAGCAACTATTCATGAATCAGTGTGTGTACGTACATCTGGTCAACTCTTACTCCAGACACAAAGACAGCCATATACACTGCTTTATGTTCTGCCACTGGGAAAATTTTCCATTGATACTGTCCTTCAGTGTCAGCTTCACTAGGACTGTGGTGCTTCAGCTCTCCACTATCCAGTGGTACTAGCTTATCGTGCAGACCTTTCTGTAAACCAAGTTTTGTCTTGGTTTACTGGGTGTGAGGAATACCCAAGGAAGCCATAGGCACAGATTGAGGGGGAGGCGGCACTGTGAATGGAGCTTGTCCAAAGAGTCTTGGCTGCCTGCTCTTGCAGGAACTGCCTCAGCTTAGTGTCTTATGTGATCTCCATTTCGTGATAGATCGCTGCTGCACGTACCCAAATTTATGCCTAGGTGTGTCAGACAACACCCAGCTCATGAGGGGAAGCTTGGGCCACTTGGTCACTTGATGTCCTGTGGTTAGTTGTCCAGTCTTTAACTTGTACCAGTGGTAAGATGTTTCTCAAAAGGAGAATAGTTCCCTGCAGAAGAGGGCCTAGATTTGTTTCATACTAGTAGAGGTCTGTGCTCTGATACTCCTGTTGGTGCTTACCAGAGGCTTCCAACAGCATCCTATTTACTGTGGATACTTTGAGTATCATTGGGTCTGCTGGATCATTTGGACTAAGTGCTTGAGAATTTTGTACTGCAGCCTGAACTTGCTGCAGAGCACAGGTAATATCTTGATTAAAATGATGCCCTGAATGTCTTTCAGATTGGTAAGGTGCTCAGCTCCTTGCTTAAGCCTAAAGCCGTGACCAAAACAATCCCAAAATCTCATCTTTACAAGCCTAAGTCCACAGATCACTTTCGGTCTCAATAGTGTGTAAGTCTTGGTCCAGCCAGAAGATAGAAGTCACACCTTGATTTAAACAAAAGTGTAACATAAATACGTAGAGAGAACTCTGACATGTCCCGCAATTGAGGGAGAGTACCTGAGGAAGGCAGATTAGGAGGGGGTCCTTCTCCCCAAGACTGGGCCTCAGATGTTGTTGGAGATGGTGACATTGCAGTCCACTGGCTGGTGATGAAGTTCACTGGGTTGCCTTGGCCAGAGCTAGTTGTCAGTCACTGGGAAAGCAGGAAGCAGCTCTCTGGAATACAGGCAAGCCCTGGCTTATGGGCAGATGAGCAGAGGGAATCAGGGTGCCTGTGGGGTGCAAGATCAAGAGCACTACGTATCCACATGAGGAGGCCATGAGAAACTGGTCTCTGCTGTGTAGACAAGTCATGGCTGGTGGGTGCGTGTGGAGAAGACGATGGTGTTCCTTCCACCCTTGCATTCTTAGTAATTCAGTACATTTCCTGCAGACTCAGATTTATGTTGTGTTATGACCAGTTATTTAGCTGTAATGTAGTTACTCTTGATTATACAGTTCGAGAAGGATCTTGGTTGTCTGCTAGACAGTAGTCACTGGGTGTCTTCATGAGCCAGGCTTTGTGCCAGGTACTGGGGAATATTGGCATCCAAAGGACACATAATGCTGCCATGAGATGCAAAAACTCTCCAGAGGAAAGCAGATCCCCATGCCACACATTATCATCCAAGAACATTCCTAGAGATGAGGGTACTTCAAAAAGTTCATGGAAAGATTTATTTTTTGTGTTTTTTTTATGGCTGGTCAGTAACAGGGATCTGAACCCTTGACTGTGGTGTTATCAACACCGCGTGTTATCTTTTAATTATATTTCTCCACGAACTTTTTTTAAGTACCCTCTGTACATAGGGTTCATAATGATAAAAGGTTTTGTTCCCTCAAAAATATTAAAGTTCAGTATGTGTATCACCCAACGATGTTACAAATTGTATAAAGTAGTGCTTCACAGACTGTTTTAGTCCGTTTTGTGTTGCTATAACAGAATACCTGAGACTGGGTAACTTATAAGGAAAAGAGGTTTATTTGGCTTACGATTCTGGGACAGCTGCGTCTGGCATGGGCCTCAGACTGCTTCTACTCATGGTGGAAAGTGGCAGGCAACCAGCAGGAACAAGCAGATCATATGGCGACAGGAAGCAAGAGAGAGAGAGAGAGGGTGCCAGGGTCTTTTTAAGCAGTGAGCTCTCTTGCGGGAACTAATTGAGCAAGAACTCACTCATTAATCCCCCTTCCCCTAGGAAAAGCATTAATCCATTCATGAGGGATCCGCCCCCATGACTCAATCAGTTTCCAATACTGCCACATTGGAGATCAAATTTCCACATAAGTTTCGGAGGGGACAACACATCCAAACTCCATCAACAGACATAAACAGGTCCACAACTCCAGTGGTAGATTTTAACATTTTTCTCCCATATTGTTTCTTTTAACAATAGAGAAAATTAAGTTAAGATATACGTTTGAGAAAGAGGAGCACAATGCCCAGTGTATGTATACAGTATCTAGTAAATGAAAGAAATCACAGAGTGCTTATCTGGAAGTGAGGATGAGAAAATAGACCAGAAGGGGCAAGAGGAAGTTTTAAAAGATTGTGATTAATTTTTATTAAAACTAAATAAAATTTTTGGGGTTTTAGTCATGCTAGGTATATAATATGACGTGATCATTAACACATGGTTAGTGACTACTGTATCATACAGTGCAGATCTAGACCAACTTCTGGTCATGCTGGGGAGTAGCAACAACCACTTCAGATCAGACATTAGGGAAACTTACCTGCAACCAAGTCCTAGCTCACCACTTCCAAACCGGATGATACTGGACCAATTACTAGTGTTGTCTGAATATAGGTTTTTTCAGTATTAAAAAGGGGTAATGATATCTACTGTATTACGATAATTAAGTAAAAGCTGCTAGTGCAACTTCTGACACATACTGGTCCTCAGTAAATGGTGATTGATGTTACTAATATTCATGTTATAGAGCATACTGTTCTGGTGGCTTTCACATGTGTTATCTGCAGAGAGAGAGCTATTGTATGATGTCTGATTACTGATATGTAATGCTTGTTGATTAATGATTGATTTGAACAGGTCTCCACTAACCCTGTATAAGGAGGAATTGAGATGGCCACTGGCCACGTAGATTCATAAGCTGCTCAGAAGTGATCTTGTCCTCGAGGGAAGTGTTCAGGCAGATTTCACCATCAGCCTCAGAGGATGGCAACCATTGATTTGTCCCATGGTAAGTCCTGCTAATGCCCTATTGCAGAGACTCTGCTTTAGGTCCCTCCTGTACAATACGGACTCCCATGGTCTGGGCCTGAGCAGTCATGGTGCTGGTTCATTTAGGAGACAGTCCCTGGTATGTGTGCTTTGGGAAGAGGTACTTTCTTCATGAGTTATCACCGTAGGCAGATAAAGACTCATATTTCTCAGGGCTTATGTTTCCTTACCTGCCAAATGAGGCCATTACCCTTTTCTGATGGGCAGCATAACTCACCATTCCTTTTTCTGGCTCCAGGAGAGGCAGGATGGTGTGATAGCAATGTGTGTGTGTGTGTGTGTGTGTGTTTTAAGTGTATATGTGTGTGTTTTCTTGAGTGTGCTGGAGTATATGGGAATTTCAGACAAGGATGGATTAACTTCCAGGCATGTGAACGTGCAGATTGTGGTCAGCTCTGGGTTCTCATGCCTACCTTCTTTTCCATGAGGTCTTCTTTACAGGGACCCAGTCTGCCTTTATGAAGAAAAGACAGATAGAAAAGATGGTGGCTGGCTGTCCGACAGATTATTATCAGGTATTCAGAAAGTGTATCCTTCTACAAAATGGCATACTTGCATCCACCAGGTAATTCTTTCTACATAGAATTGTCTCCAGAGCTTGTTAAAGCAAATAAAGCTTCACTCAAGGACTGAATCCATAATTGGATCTCCCTAGGGAGTAGAGCTTCTCATTTTGGTGAAGGATTACTTTGAAAAATCATCCCAGCATTTCAGTAATTACTAATTAATTTTGACCCTCATGGTCCCCCTGTTTCTTCTTTGCTGAGTGCTCTGACAGATGGTAAGGGAGGTGAAAGTATCCCTTGGTCAAAGAATTTATTTATTTATCAGTGTTTATCAAGCATCTGCAGTGTGCTCAAGAGTGTGCAGCAATAGAGGTAAATAAGATGAGCTGGTTTGGTTGTGTTGAAGTAAGCCCAGGTATAAGAGGTGCTGTTAAGGCCATGTGACTGGAGGACATGGACAGTGAGTGAGTGTGGCTAGAGAAGAGTACCTAGGACCACTGACCCCTGGGATGGACAATGGAGCCCTCAGAACCTTGGATAGTCTTTGGGTTCCCTTCGTTATTCTCCAGTGAACGTCGGCGGACATGTTTTATGGTTCAAACCAGTATGTGTGTGATGATTTAGGACCTGGTAACCTTTGAGGATGTGGCTCTGGACTTCAGTGAGGAGGAATGGACTTTACTGGACACAACTCAGAGAAACCTATACAGAGATGTGATGCTGGAGAACTACCAGAACCTGGTCACAGTAGGTGAGACTGGATCATTTCTTGTAACCTCTTACGGAACAGATACATGTTATATACTTATGGTGTTATATGATCAGTGATGTCCACTCTGAGTACAGTGGGAGATAACAGAGACATAGTCCCTGCCCTAATAGGTTTAAATGTACTTGATGCTTCTCCAAATGTGGTCTAAGATCAAGAGCATAACCATCACTCGGTTTGAAATGTACATTCTCAGTCTCTACCTTTGACATAATCAATCAGAAACTGTCCAGTTGGGGTCCTGTCATCTGTGCTTTAACAAGCTCTCTAGAGGAGTCTGATGTACCATATTGTTTAAGATTTACAGATGTGGTGGTTTCCCCATAAAAATGAAGATCTCTTTTTCCCACGTACTTTATTTCCTATTTGAATAAAAGTCTTAATACTTTATAAGTGTGTACATAAATTTGAATTTGGTTTCAGAGGTCAAAGATAACCAATCTTTTTTGGGGCACAGAGGCAATGGTTGCATTTTTTTGGCTGTTTTAAAATAATTTCACTGCTTTGATGAGAACTGTAGTTCTTGAATCATAGGAAGGTTTATCATCTCTTGCCTGAGCCTCTCCATTAATCTGTCTTTCCCTGTGTACAGGATGTCAGAACATCAAACCCAGTCTGATCTCTTGGTTGGAACAAGAAGAGTTGAGGACAGTTCAGAGAGGAGCTCTCCAAGGTGAGCATTCGTGAAGAATAACACAGGTCAGTAAGTTCCGTATATTTGTAAATATAATGAGGAAACTTTGGAAGATGCACTCTACTTTGGAAGGTGGAGGCCATTTTTCTCAGAAGTTAGGAACTCTGCAACTTCCTGCTGTCTTACTCTCAGTCTGCTCAGACTTTCCTGTGATCTCACAATACAGCCTAATATATTTCAAGTTGATTGTTTTGCTGTGTGCTTCTTGTCCTGTACTTCTGCTTTCCTTCCATGATCATGTTCTTTTGTGTTCACCATCAGTTTTTGTTTTCATAGAATCCATTTGTAATAAACTATCTAAAATTTTGACCCCACATCCTTATTATTGCCAGATGTTTAACATTGTCAAAATCTTCAAGTCTGTGTTTACTTTCTTTTTTATTACCATGTTTAATTTGAAAACAAATACAAGTGATTCCTACCATTTTCTTTCTTTCTTTTTTTTTAAAAAAGATGACTAGTAATGGGTTTCTTAACCCCTGACTTGGTGTTGTTAGCACTATGCTCTCCCAAGTGAGCTAACCAGCCATCCCTGTATAGGGATCCAAACCCGTGGCCTTGGTGTTATCAGCACCACTCTCTCCCAAGTGAGCTAACCAGCCATCCCTGTATAGGGATCCAAACCCGTGGCCTTGGTGTTATCAGCACCACTCTCTCCCAAGTGAGCCATGGGCCGACCTGATCCCTTCCCTTTTCACCCTCTACCATATTTTGTCTCCAAACCCTTACAGTTCTCTTTCTCTTTAACTTCAGAATGGAAAGTGCAACTTGAAACCAAAGGGTCAGCACTTCAGCAGGATTTTTTGAGAGGACAAACCTCCAGTGGGATGCAAACGGTAAGATAAACAAGAGGTCTTTTATTTTGCACATTCAGAGAAGATTGGGAATGCCGTATAGAAAATCAGAATGAGAGGGCCGGCCCGGTGGCACACTGGAGAGTGTGCTGCTTGGGAGTGTGGCGGCGCTCCTGTCGAGGGTTCGGATCCCATGTGGAGACCGGTTCCCGCTCACTGGCTGAGCGCGGTGCGGGCGCAACACTGAGGGTTGCGATCCCGTTACCGGTCAGTAAAAAAGACAAAAAGGAAAAAAAAAAAAAAAAAGAAAATCAGAATGAGAGATATTTGAGAGAAGTACATTGACCCAAGAGGGAGCTGTGTCTCTGGAGAAGTACTTGGAATATGTTGAATTTGAGGATGCTTGAAAGCTAGTGCGACACTTGTTATATCAGGGTTCCCGCAAGTACACAGTCCTCACTAACTAGATCGTGAGTTTTTAAAACAATTTAATGAAACTATAGAAATCTGTTTAGAGTAGATGGCACAGCATTCTGGCAGAAGCCTTTCATATTCCACTTTAAAAAAATCAACAGGGCAGGAATTGTATATATGTAATGAAAATGGTAAAAATGGAAATAGTTGTTATTTATTTATTTTCCTTTTTGTCTTTTTTCGTGACCGGCAACGGGATTGCAACCCTCGGTGCTGCGCCCACACGTCGCTCAGCCAGTGAGCGGCCGGTCTGTATGTGGGATCCGAACCCTCGGCGGGAGCGNTTCGTGACCGGCAACGGGATTGCAACCCTCGGTGCTGCGCCCACACGTCGCTCGGCCAGTGAGCGGCCGGTCTGTATGTGGGATCCGAACCCTCGGCGGGAGCGCCGCCGCGCTCCCAAGCGGCGCACTGTAGCAGTGCGCCACCGGGCCGGCCCGGAAATAGTTGTTATCATAATGTTTTTATTTTCAGATGCATGGAATCTATCAATTCCATGCATGAGTCTGCATGGAATGATTCTGAACCATAGTTTAATCGTTCATCCCTTTATCAACAGGCAAGAAGCCACAATGGAGAACATTATGATTGTGTGTACTATGGAGAAGTCTTCAGTGAAGACTCGTGCCTTAAGACTCATGGGAGAAATCAAAATACTGAAAACACTTCTGAGTGTTATCAGAATGGAATAGACTTCCTTACTCTGCACAAGGAGACCTCTACTGGAGAGAAACTTTCTGTGTTGAATGAGTATGGAAAAGCCTTTAGTCTGACTCCAAATGTTGTTTACCAGAGTGTGTGCACGAAAGACAAATCCTTTGAATGCAATGACTGTGGGAAAGCCTTCGTTAATCAGTCACACCTGCAGGCACATATGAGAACTCACAGTGGAGACACACTTCATGAATGGAAGGAATATGGAAGAGATTTTATTCACTCCACAAGCCTTGCTGTGAATATACAAACTCGCAGTGCAGAAAAACCCTACACATGCAAGGAATGTGGGAAAGGCTTTAGATATTCTGCATACCTTAATATTCACATGGGAACTCACACTGGCGACAACCCCTATGAATGTAAGGAGTGTGGGAAATCATTCACTAGGTCTTGTCAACTTACTCAGCACAGAAAATCTCACACTGGAGAGAAACCTTACAAGTGTAAGGAATGTGGGAAAGCCTTCACAGTTTCCTCCTGCTTAAGTCAACATGTGAAAATTCACACTGGAGAGAAACCCTATGAATGTAAGGAATGTGGAGCAGTCTTCATTAGGTCTTCTCAGCTTACTGAACATATAAAAACTCACACTTTGGAGAACCCCTTTGAATGTAAGGTGTGTGGAAAATCCTTCAGAAATTCCTCATACCTTAATGATCACTATCGAATTCACACTGGACTAAAACCCTATAAATGTAAGGACTGTGGGAAAGCCTTCATTCAGAACTCAGACCTTACTAAGCATGTACGAACTCACAGTGGAGAGAAACCCTATGAATGTAAGGACTGTGGAAAAGCCTTTGCCAGGTCGTCTCGCCTTAATGAACATATAAGAACTCACACCGGAGAGAAGCCTTTTCAGTGTGTCAAATGTGGGAAAGCGTTCGCTATTTCTTCAAATCTTAGTGGACATTTGAGAATTCACACTGGAGAGAAGCCGTTTGAGTGCACTGAATGTGGGAAAGCATTTACGCATTCCTCCAGTCTGAATAATCACATGCGGACTCACAGTGCCAAAAAACCATACACATGTATGGAGTGTGGGAAAGCCTTTAAGTTTCCCACATGTATTAATCTTCACATGCGAATCCACACTGGAGAAAAACCCTATGAATGTAAACAGTGTGGGAAATCTTTCAGTTACTCCAATTCATTTCAGTTACATGAAAGGACTCACACTGGAGAAAAACCCTATGAATGTAGAGAGTGTGGTAAAACCTTTAGTTCTTCCAGTTCCTTTCGAAATCATGAAAGAAGGCATGCAGACAAACTATCAATGTAAGGAGTATTAGGAAGCCTAAAGGTGTTCTCGTTCACTTCGAAGACATGAAGAACTCAGTGGGGAGAAACCCTTTGAATATAAGGAATGTGGAAGCATCTTCACTAATCTCTTTGGTCTTAACGTAAGGATTTGCAATGGAGAAGACCCTATTGAAGCATGGAATGTGGAAAAGACTTCATTAAATCCTCAAGATTTACCTTACATATAAGAAATCTCACTGGAGAGAAACCCTATGAATGTAGAGAATCTGGGAAAACCTTTCCTAATTCCACAAGCCTTAATATGAATATGTGAACTCACATTGGAGAGAACCCTATGATTTAAATGGTGTGGTCTGGATGATGCCCCCCAAAATTCATATTTTGATGCCCTAATCCCTGGCTCCTCACAAGGTATGGACATAAGGTTTTTAAACAGGTAATTAACTTAAAATGAGGCTGTTAGGGTCAGTTTGTAATTTAACATCACTGGTGTCCCTATAAGAGAAAGTAGAAGGAAGGACGTGTGCACACACGTGCACACACAGGGAGAAGATCATGTGAAATCACCAGAAGATGGCCATCTGCAAGCCAAGGACAGAGGCCTGGAACAAATCCTTCTATTACGGCCTCCAGAGGAAACCAACCCTGCCCCACCTTGATATTGGACTTCCAGCCTCCAGAGCGAAAAACCAATAAATTTTCCTTGTTTAAGTCATCTAGTCTGTGGTATTTTGTTAGGCAATCCTAAGAAACTAATACTGTACGGAATGTGAAAAGGGCTTTAGCTATTCCAGGAGCCTTAATGTTCATATATATATGAATCCAGTGTGCAGAGAAACACTAGGAAAATAGGGAATATGGGAAAGAAAGCCTTCATTCAGCTTTCAGCTCTTTTTAAAAATATAAGAAATCACAGAAGAGAAGTTCTATGAATGTAAAGCATGTGGAAAAGCTTTTAAGTGTTCATCAGATCTTAACGTTCACTTCCAACTCCTGTGGTGATAGACCCTGTGAAAATAAAGGAAAAAAAGTTTATTGTGAAAGTAGGGAACCTGACTTTACACAACAGTTAGTAATTTAGAGTGGGCTGAAGCAACATTATCAGGAATGTGGTAGAACTTTTACTACATAAAAAAGTTCCTATACTTTTTTTTTACATAAAGTATATGAACTCACTATATATAGAGAAGACCTGTACTTGTGAGATAGCTTTTACTAATTCCACAAGGCTTATTTTACACACCTAAAATTATTGCAAATGCCCTGGGAATGTAGGGACTATATTCCAACCTTTAAATATTTCACATGCCATAACATGAAATCTCACTTTTAGGGAAAAATCCAAAGTATGTCATGAGTATGGTGAAGCCTTACGTTGCTCAAGCCTTAATGTCTACGTGAGAATTGACTCTTTGAATGTAAAACCCTGTGAATGTAAAGGTTGCAGGAAGTCCTTCAGTTGCTCCTCGTGTCTTACCATTTAAGATACCACAGTTCAGCACTGTATGAATATAAGGAATACCAGAAAGCTGTCAGCGTCTCCTCACAACCCAGTGTGTGATAACTCACAGGGAGACCATAATCTACAAAACATGGAAGGCCCTTTGCTGTTATCTCAGGAGCTACTGAAAAAGATTTTGCAGCGGAGAGAAACCATATTAATGTAAGATGTTGGAAAGTGGTAGTTCTGCTGAACAAGGTTCATTTTTCATCTGAGTGGAGAAAAATGTTTTTAACAATTGAAAATATATGTTTTGAATTTTTTTTCCTTTTTTTGGTGGGTGGCTGTACAGTATCTGAACCTGGGACCTTGGTGTTATCAGCACCATGCTCTAACCAACTGAGCTCACTGGCCAGCCCTTTTTTAAATCTTCCTGGCAGCTGGCTGGTACAGGGATCCTAATCTTTGACCTTGAAAAATATATAAATGTTTTAATAGCTCTTCCTTTTTGTTTCTTTGATGGCTGGCCAGTACAGGGATCAAACCCTGGACATTGGTATTATCAACACCACGCTTTAACCAACTGAGCTAACTGGCCAGTCCAGCAGCTCTTTTGAAAAAAAAAAAAAAAAAAAAAAATAGACTGTTTTAAATCAGTTTTAAGTTCATAGCAAAGTTGTGCAGAAAGTACAAAGACTTGCTGTATACCCACAGCTGCTGCACATGCGTGGCTTCCCCATTATTGACATAGTCCATCAGAGGGCTGCATTTGTTAGCATCAATGAGCCTACGTTGAACTGCATCATCGCCCAAAGTCCACATAGCTTACATTATGATTTACTGCTGTAAACACCCGTGTAGAGATTTTTGTCGGGACATAAGTTTTCAACTATGGGATAATACCAAGGAGAGCAATTGCTGGATCATATGTTAAGAGTATACGTAGTTTTGTAAGAAATGGCCACTGTGATGTGGGCAGGTCTGCCTGTTCAGATCGGCCTGGGGTATAGAACTCTGACACTGGCCTCTTGCAGCTCTGATGGCCTTGGTCCTGGCTGTCTCCCTCAGCCTCCGGGAGTGCTAGCCATGGGGTTTCTCATTCTCCACTGGCCTGGTTGGGACCATCTCAGTCTGTGCTGCTCTGTGCATTTCTTCGCTCATCGAGCAGCCTTCTTCCCATCCTGCCTCTCTCCCTGCCCCCTCTGGCATTCTCATAAAGTGTGGACTTGGGTCTCTCAGGGTGACCATCAGAAAGGACACTTCTGCTACCAAGAAGAGTGTCTTTCCACAAAATGTGACAGCTTTTGAAAGGCAGCCGTTGAGAGGAGTCTTGAAGTGAGGTTGAACGTTCCTCGTTAGAAGTAAGGAGCAGGGACGGGTCAGCTTGGGTTGTGTACAAAAAGGGAGAAGAGACGTTTCACTCTTAAAGCCTCTGAACTATTTAACTTCTGACATAGTGGTATGGACCTCCTTTCCCCACCCCTCCTTAGTTAAAAATGGGACTAATCTCATCATTTTTCCCTCTAGTCTGTATTTCAGTGAAAGCACCGGCCCTCCTCATCTCTAGTTATGTCAGGAAGCATTTCCTCCGGACACCAGTGGCTCCAAGGGCTATAATATAAATAAATGAAGCATGAATCCATGGTGCCTGGTGCAGAGGTCATGGCAAAGTGAAGGGTTCTAGGGAAGACTTCACCTCTGTCTCAACATGTCACATCTTGGTTTCTAGAGCGAATCCTACAGTTATTGGTCAATGTGTTTAGACACCTTCCCTTCACCAGTGTTGAGCTGTATGTACCTCGTGGTGACTTCTGGGGCCTCAGGTTGCAGGGTTGGTCTGCAGGGCCATGTGACCACTGTGCAGGCCATGCAGACTTGAGGTGAAATCTCTGCAAGGGCAGTTCTTGGGGCTCCCAGCCTCCCCAGGACGAAGGCCGGCCTTTCCCCAGCAGCCATTGGTGCACAGTGATGTCTGTCTACAGGTCTCACTACTTGGCCCACCCTTTAGTGTCTGCCTAGTAATAGGCCACTCTTGTTTCTGATTGGCTGTGGCAGTGGACACTTTGAGTCCAGTGACCACTTTGTGCCTGAAATCTGCAGTAGTGACACAGGACAAGGTCATTTAAAAGTACTATTTAGTGTTAGGTTTTCAACTCATTATTTAATTCTGTGAAAGTGTGGCCGGCTAATTTGACTTATTTTTTAACAATAAATTCCTCTGTGCAGCATCTGATTTAATACTCATTAAAAAACCTAATCCTTTAAAAATCTGATTTTTTATTTGCCAGTTGATAGAAAATGTCTGTTTTGGACACACATTTCTGATGTACAAATCTAATATTAGTAACAAAACTAAAAGATCCTTCTACTTATCAGTGGGTATTTTATTTAGCAGGGACTCTATGATGCACCACCAGCCAAACTGGTTTTGAATTTGTTTTATGCCAGATCTCTGGTTCTCAGGGGCTTCATTAAATAAAACTAGTAATCCCACATTTGCTTTTTTTATTATGGTAAAGTATAAATTAAATGGAATTTACCATTTTAACTATTTTAAGTGTCCATTTCACTGGCACACACTCACATTGTTGTGCAACCAACACCACCATCCATGTCCAACGTTTTCTCTTCCCAAACTCTACCCATTAAACACTAACTCCCCATCCCAATCTCCCAATCCCAACACCATTCTGGACACAATGGGTCCTTTTCTCTGTGAATGCAATCAACTAATGTAACGGAGACTGGAAGTCTAGATAGGAAGGTTTATTACTTGTTAGAAGCAAGGAGAACATTGGGGATTGTTGCCAGAGTAGTGTATCCCCAAAAGGAGGGTTACAGCTTCTTTTATTGCGGGTAAACATGAATATGCGTAGGCTTTATTGAAGTCATCACATGTAGAGGTGGGTGCCTGCAGGTGCAGTTCATCACCATACTTATGCATCCTATGTTATGCTAATTAGTAATTATGCCACCCCTGGGTGTAATGAGCAAAGTTCACTCTAGGTTCAGAATTTTAGCCCCAGAACCTGGTAGATCTGGTCTTAACTGGTTCTCTGGTCATGAGCATCTCTTCTCAACTCCCTGGAACTGGCTGTTCTTACCACTAGCACTTATCAGTCCCCTCCTACCCTGATCTTTTCGACTAACAATTCTACGTTGTGCCTGTGTTAATCTCACTACTCTAGATATCTCATAAAAGTGAATAAAATAAAAGCTGCTTTCAATTCTTTTGGTTAAATATCCAGAAGCGGAATTGCTAGATTTTACAGTGTTGCAATTTTTTATTGTTATTATTTTTCTAATTTGGTCTTAAGGGCAAGATAGCCTCTCTTTAGGAGAGCCCTGGTAGTGGTGTTGAGGGTTAGATTTCCGTGTGTCAGGTGAGACACAATGAGGAAGCAAAACCAAAACTCATGAAACAGGAAATTTATTACTTATACGTCCCAGAGAGGTTGGGGGTGCTGAAGGGAGGCCCACAGGAAGTCTAGAGGCAGCGGGAAGCTCAATCAGTGAGTGGGTTGAGAGAGAGAGGAATGCAGGGAGGGAAAGAAAGGAATGGGGGCACTGTGGGACTATGCCTTTATTAAGGTCCATGGACATTATCCCTCAGGCTTTCCCTCAGGGGTTGTGGATTGGTTAGCTTAAACACGAAGTGGGAAGGGAGAAATTTATTTACATGACTCTGGTGTTGGCCATTAGGTTTTGTGGTCAGAGCTGTTGGATGTGCTGGGTTTAGGGTCAGTGACATGAGGAACAAGCAGATATATCAAGAACAGCCACACATAGAGGGGAAGTTTACATCAGGCCTAAAAATGAATGCCAAGGCAGCAACTGTATTGAACTTAATGACATGGGGCAAGTCTATGTTTACCCCCATTCACCTTTTTTTTTTAAAAAGATGACCAGTAAGGGGATCTTAACCCTTGACTTGGAGTTGTCAGCACCACGCTCTCCCAAGTGAGCTAACTGGCCATCCCTATATAGGGATCCGAACCCGTGGCCTTGGTGTTATCAGCACCACACTCTCCCAAGTGAGCCACGGGCCAGCCCCTACCCCCATTCACTTTTAAATTCTACCATATCTTGGCAGGTGTTTCATTCATAGGGATATTTAGAAAATGCCAAACAGGGAGTTTTTGAGATGCAAAAATTTCCCGGTTTGGTTGTCAAAATGTAGTAACAGCAAGTATAGCATCAATGGACTTTCAGTTCCTATTTTTACCTTTGCTTGTAGATTGATATTTATATTCCCTGGAGGATGGTATAAGGCG